ACTTGTGAGCATCCCTTTTGGCAACGGCTCGGCCACCGACGGTGCACCCACACGGCTCATAACCGCGGGCGCAGAGATAAGAACGTGCAGTGGGGTGTGACCTTTGCCCCGAGAGTGGTTCATCATTGCAAACCTCCAGCAAGATGCAGCTGAGCGATCGTGTCCGGTTTAATTACTTTCCTACTGGCACAGTTCCCCACCCCCCCCCCCCCCCCGAAAGACAGAGACCCCCCCAGTGTAGCCTTCACAGACTGTTGGGGCAAGTGCAGTTAGCGAGCACCACCTATGAAGGACGGAACGAGCACACGAGCGGGTGGCTTGCCAGCACCACGCCCGGCCGCCTTTGTCTCCCGAGCAGCAATGTTCTTACACCGCACTAGGTTGTCGATCGAGGCTGAGTCGACCTAGGGGAGACCCAGGACCGATTCAGATAATTGTCACCTGTGATGGCCGTGAGCGGGAATGCAACTCGGGGTTGTGGGATTCGTAGCGCAGCGCGCTAACCGCTACACTGCCACTCCCCATTCCTCCCCCCTCCAGTGAGACACGCGCAGACTGCCATGAGCTTGAAACAGCCGCCAGCATGCGTGCTCCAGCCAATTAGAAAATATGAATTTCAACGGAAGCGTTGGCGATGAACCCCACATTAACTGGTGCGCAGCTTTCTCACGGCTGTGCTGTGCCGCTTCTCCGATGCGGTGTCCCGGTTGTGTCTGTGACGAAACGCAGAGTCCATGCCTGATTGTCATCCAGCAGCGCGTCGCCGTGTAGCCGGGGCACGTATTCACAGAGCCTCTTCTGGAAGAAAAAGAAAATATCCCTACAAGTGACCTTTGCATCTTCGCACGCAACTCTGTTTCGGGATTGGTGTTTGTCGCACGAGAGTCCAACTAATGCTGTTGTTTTTTCGTGTTTTCAGAGCTGGCATTTAGCCACATGAAGTGAAAAGCCCCATGTTTAACGTAGCGGTTTATTGTGTGCTGTCGTTGGTGGCCAGACCGAGCCCATCAAGGCGCCTTTCCTTCGGAGCCCAGTTTAATATCGATGCCTTGAGCCCAGGATCTCGGCCCGGCACTCTGACCCCTGAGGCTCCCCGAACACGTGGATTTGAATTTATTGCTCGCTTAAATACGGAACGCGGAATAATCTCGGAGCGCTTTACGACGCACACCAAGAATTGGTTTCACAGCGACGATGAAAGGGGGGGGGGGGGAAAGGGGGGACGGGCGTGTAAGAATAATGGAATTTGAAATGATGTAGGGGAAACAATTAAATGGCAGCCTAAAGGGATGCAAAAGACCGCTGGGAGCCCTAAAACTCTGACAAATCTCACGGCGTAAAGAGCCGGATGTGCGCTGCTGACCTGCGATATGTGTGCAGACACACGAGTGTCATCTCCTCGGCAGAGTGGGGTTTCTTCCGGACTCCATTTGACTCCCACAATTAAATTTAACAAAACATCCTTTAATGAACTCACGCCAACGTCCCCCCCCCCCCCCCCATGCAAGGATCCTCCTGACGCTTTGCCGTGTGCGCGTGAGGGCTGCCCTCACCAACAACACCACCAAGAGACTCGTTACAGGTTGACTCTTTTCCGAGCACAGCCTGACAACATGATACGAGGAGGACAGACGGACGGGTCGACGTGGTGGGGGGTAGGGGTGGGGGGGGGTTTGAGGGGGTGGGGGCTTGTGGGCACCCAGACGCGCAACGCAGAGACACGCGTCACCGCAGAGACACGCGTCACCGCAGAGACACGCGTCACCGCCGCGATGACAAGACGTGGCAGCCGCCGTTGTGTGGCACGGTACGCGAGAAAAAGCGGCGGCGGCACGATTTAAATGCCACCGGCCGTGCGCCGGGCTGACGCGCGCGCGTCCGTTCCACGCGCGCGCCACCCATCATGATCCGTGCCGTGGGGCCGGGCGTCATGATCGACCGATAGCATCGCTCGGCTTGCCGATAGAAAGAGCAGTGCCCAGCGATAGCGCCCAGCGGGTGTTGGGTTGCGCGCGTCGCCCGGCCCGGTCCCACCGCGCAAATTGCACGGCGCCCCCCACCGCCCCCCCCCCCCTCTGTGTTGGTGACGGCTTCGCTGCGGTGAATGTTTTTTTTTTGCTGTAGGAATTGCTAAATGCGACTATGGCCTGGGCCGACCTTGAGGGTACGAACACATGTAATTGGTGCTGGTAAATGATGAAGACCGGAAGAACGGCGGTGATTTTTTTTTGTTGTTGAAAGGGATTGCTGTAATGAGATTGGAGCCGCGCCTGAGTGGTGCAGCTTTGCCGCGTGCGGTTTGCAATGCGCCGCTGGATGGAGGCCTGCCCTACGCCGCATTGGTCGTGAGCGCTGTTTGACCATACTTCACCACTCTAGTTGGCGTGCGTTGGTGAAGGGGCGGCCCCAGGACCGGTTCATGAATAACTCGGCGCTGGTGTTTGCCGTGGCCAGGAGTTAAAGTCAAGGCACTGGAATCATAGTGCGGTGCGCTCACTGCTGCACCACCGCTCCCCCCCCCCCCGCTCCCTAGAAAAAAGTGTCAATGAACAATTAGTGGATGATGACTGTGTTATAGTTTGAGAGTGCAGTGGCGTTATTTGCAGACACAACCAACATTCCGTGTAACTGAAGCACTGCGCTTAAAATGTTTGCTTGAGCAGGTGCAATACAAAAATTGGTCCGTTTCTTGCATTCCTGCTCGGCGCCTTCCTGATCATCATCATCATTATAACAACAACAACATCATCATCAATTATTACGGAACACTAAGCAAAGCGAAGTCCACACCGCGATGTAGGAATGCAGCCTCCGGCGTGTGCGAGCGACTGGGGCTGCGAGATCGCCCTCCTCCCTCCCCCCCGGCTCACAACCCCGAGGCACGCCCACAGAGCGACAGCGCGAACCTCGCCACGGATTTAAAATTTCGAAAAGCGGCGTTCTCGCGGGGGATGGTGGGGGGGGGATTGCTTCCTCCCGCAAGTTCGCGATTTGCGGTCCGCGTGTCGGTTGGGGAGTCGTGCCGGGTGACGATGGAGCTCAGCCACCTCCCTCCCTCCACGGTGTCGGTGTCCACAAACAACGAACAACTTCACTACCATTGTTTGTGTTTAAATCTCTCTATCGTTCTCTCTCTCTCTCTCGTATTGGTGCCTTGCTGGTCTCGTCAAGGAGCGTGGGCCATCACGCGAACTACGCTTCTGCGGCCGTCTGGAACGCTCTTCCATCCGATGTTAGGAAGCCACCGGAGCAATGCACTTTTAGTTCTGGATTGAAAACTAATTTCTGTAGAACAATTGCCTTTTGTGTTCAGTTTTTGTCATTCCCCCGCACTTCTGATCAGCAAAGGTTGGCTATGTACGGTGTGAAAGAATTTCAACATGCATACATTGTGTGCACAGTAGAACCCCTCTTAACGACGATAATTGGTCACACGAAATCGGTATTTAAGTTATTTGGTCGTTACGTGAGTATAGGTAATACATGTTAAAGGCTTTATTCGTTCCGATAGCATCGAACGTAACCCTTTTTCACCGAAAAAACGTACTTTGTAATCTTTCAATAAAGTTTATTAACACACAAAGATACTTACAACATTATAAACACGTGATATATAAAAAAACGGGGTTAATCAATTCATTATTTAATATTTACCGAACCTACATCAGCCCGTCGTTAACAGGGGAATGGTCGGTAAGCGAACACATTGGGCTCTATGGAGGCACTGCACTACTATACACTATACACTACTATACACTACACTATACACTACTATACACTACACTATACACTACACTATACACTACTATACACTACACTACTATACACTGCACTACTATACACTACTAAACACTACACTACTATACACTACACTATACACTACTATACACTACACTACTATACACTACACTACTATACACTACACTATACACTACACATTGGCCTCTATGGAGGCCCGTCGTTAAGCGATTGGTCGTTAACAGGAGTGGACGTTAAGAGGGCTTCTACTGTATACCAATTTTGACGTGCAGTTATACATCCATGTCTAAGTTGGACATCGAGTTGATGGCTTCAGAGGTCGGCGAGTGTGAATACAACTCCTGCACCCGGTGTGGACATGAGTTCGCACACACGCATAGACTTGCATAGAGACCCACAGAGACCCATAGAGACCCATAGACTCGCAAAGAGACACAGACTCGCAAAGACCCATATAGAGGCCCATATAGACTTGCACAGACACCTAAAGACTCGCGGTGTGCTCCATTGTAGCGGATGCGCTTCAGTCGCATTTGGGCGATTTTTGTTTATTCTCCCCATACATGGAACAGGTGAGTGCACCTGCCGTGACCGCTTGTTGGGATGCGTCGTGTGGCAGCCAAATGCTGCGGGGCGGTGAGCCATCCAGATGGCTGGATGGTGAGATCCGCGATGATGGCGCCCACCAGCCTTCGATGCTGCCCGGCACGACGGCGGTGTTTAATGCCGGCGTCCGTACGCATACGCCGCTGACTACGCCAGTGCCTGATGTTTTGTTTGAAGCTGTTGGGGGGGGGGGGGGGGTGGGGAGGGGATAAGGACGTGCTAATCGGGTGGCGTGTGGTGTGCGAGCGAGCGTGTGCCGTTCGGTGTTGATTGGTATTCGTGCTAAGGCGCGTTGGCGGTTGAAACCCACTGAGCCAGACTGGCGCACGTTTACAGTCTCGCGGTCGTCGTTGTCGTCATGTATCGCCCTCGTAACCGAGGGTTTTTGTGCGTGACCGATGCTCTCCGTGATCTTTCAGCGGCTCGTGCATCGTCCGTGGCCCAGCTGCTCGCATTGGCCTCCCAGCCGGTGCCTCTTCCTCCTCTCTTCCCTTCGATGTTTCCTTGCAGGCTCAGCGTCATCAGTTGTCCGGCTGCACCTCTAACGACGTGTCCCACGTGTGTTGCCTTAATTCTCGTCCATCGAGCGCTAAGTGATTTTCTGCATTGAGGCGTTTCTCATCTTCCGTTTACAGCTCTGAACCAGCGGTGGAAATTCCACGTTCTCAAGGCGGAGGGGGGCGAGTTTGCCCACTGGACGACCACTGTTGACTTCGCCACGAAGTTTGCTTTCAATTTTACCGACCACCAGAGGAATGATGGTATGAGTCAATGCCCAACCCACGGTTTCAACTCGTGACCTTTCCAATTTCGTGGCTTACCGCTCTGTCGCTGTGAGCCGCTGAGCCACTCAGCCGGTCTCTCTCTCTTGGCGGCTCTCCTCGTGCCTCTGTGTGTGTCGCCAACTCACTCTCTCAAATGTCTCGTAACGCCGCGTTTACCGGCGGTCAAATAAAAGGCAGGCAACCAAAATGTATTTAAGAGACGAGACAAAATAAACAATGGAAGGCCCGTTGCCAACAACAACAGTAACAAAATGCGAGGCGGAATGACAAATGTTCTTGTCATTATCTATCATATTTCACTTGGTCAGCAAAAATGAGGAGTAGCGAGCCGGGGAGAAGGAGCACGCTCTGTTCTCATTGTGTGTGGGAGGCACGGGCAGAATTCCTTTCTGCCGCGCGTTTGGCTTACGTCTGTTTGCTTATCTCTTTAAAATGACGAGGTGGAGCGGTTTTTCTGACAGTGCCTCCCTCCCCTCCTCATCCCCCGTCCCCAACTCCCAACCGGGTTTTGTGTGCGCACAAAGGGATTGCACTTGAGATGTCTACGAATCTAATTGACTCAAGAAAACCATCAGCTGGAATTTGCCCTTTCGAATTCCTGGAAGGCGATGGTAGTTGGTGTCTGACTTATTTTTTACGCCACAAAATAGGAAGAGGAGAAGAATTAGAAGGAAAGAAAGTAAAGCTTTGAAAAAAACAATAATAAACAGAAGGGAATTAATGTGATTTTGCTGAGAGGGCCAAAGTATGGTTTGGTTAATCTTCATCAGGGCTGGTGAAAGGTCCCGCACAGTTAAACACCTTTGTGTTTTCGGGGGAGATTTTGGAAAGACTGTTCCAGAATCGCTCTCACTAAAACGGTAAGGGCTCCCAATCACGAGATTACAAGTTGAACTCTTGCCTGGGGCCAACTGCTTCATTTACAGCAGTGCTCTCTATTAGTTACTGAGGAGAGCCTCGATGAGCGTCAAGGCTCTCTGGAGAGGCCTGCGTTGGGATGTGCGAGGAAAGCCGAGTACCTGGGTAATGCCCCACGCATGCAAAGGGTTAAAATATTACGAAAAGATAGATTCAGGAATCCATTGCTTTGGGGAAGAGGTGACTCGGGCATCAGAGTGCAGCCACTTGTGGTTACGCCACTTGTGATTCAGGCACTTGTGGTTCAGGAACTTGGGTTAAGCCACTTGTGGTTAAGCCACTTGTGATTCAGGCACTTGTGGTTCAGGCACTTGTGGCTCAGACACTTGTGGTTAAGCGACTTGTGGTTAAACCACTTGTGGTTCAGGCACTTGTGATTCAAGCACTTGTGGCTCAGACACTTGTGGTTAAGCCACTTGTAGTTCAGGCACTTGTGGTTCAGGCACTTATGGTTCAGGCACTTGTGGTTAAGCCACTTGTGGTTAAGCCATTTGTGATTCAGGCACTTGTGGTTCAGGAACTTGTGGCTCAGACACTTGTGGTTAAGCGACTTGTGGTTAAACCACTTGTGGTTCAGGCACTTGTGATTCAGGCACTTGTGGCTCAGACACTTGTGGTTAAGCCACTTGTAGTTCAGGCACTTGTGGTTCAGGCACTTATGGTTCAGGCACTTGTGGTTAAGCCACTTGTGGTTAAGCCATTTGTGATTCAGGCACTTGTGGTTCAGGCACTTGTGACTCAGACACTTGTGGTTAAGCCACTTGTGGTTCAGGCACTTGTGGTTCAGGCACTTGTGGTTAAGCCACTTGTGGCTCAGACACTTGTGGCTCAGACACTTATGTTGTTAAGTTTAGCGAGTTCATGGTCTCAGCCTCTTCATCAATTATTGGAAGGAAAAAACCACCCCACCATATTATACAACTTAGTATTGCACTTAATATGGCAGGATTTTCTGCCTCGTTTTGAAAAAAAATCGGTTCGCTTTTCATGCGACAAACAATCTCAAAGCTGCGTGTGTGGAAAAGTGCGCACCCTACCGTGTGAACGATTAAAGGCCACTTGATAGGTTTTTTTGGGGGAGTGGTGGGGGGAGGAGGAGTAGTTCTGTTAAAAATATATTCCGCATTTGTTCCCTACCACGCGGACAGGCGCACTGCTCTTGGAGACTTCCAAATGGATTTTACATCTCATGACACAATACGGCTCGCGCGGATGGAATAAATCGGGAGACCAAATTAAATGACAAAACGGGGAGTGTACAGGGGACCCTTTGCACGCCTTGTTATATCTCATAGTGGCCCAGGTAGTGCTTTCATCGGCCACGCTGCTCGGGGGAGCATTTGCAACTGCGGGCCGGATTTAGCATCGGTGTTGCAGCATCGCATAAGACGGGGACACTGGAATTGTGGGCTTCGTGTCCCCTCGAAGCCGTGCCCAGCAGTTGTGGTCTCGCGATGAGCGGACGTCCAAATAATTATATTGCTTGGGCTGCTACACAAATGTGCAGGATTGGTGTTTGTCTTTCCCCAATACGTGTCTCGATACAGTGCGTTCGTTTTGCATGGCACTAACAGGGCCCCCGTCGTTTCGAGGGAGTGCTCTCACCAACAACAGCAGCAAAAGCGATCACAACACTTTGGTGACCGTAACTACACCATCACTTTTAATAACCCCCACTCTTTATTTCAACCACTCTCATCTTATGTGCAATTGCATAAGTATTGTAAAGCGCTGTATAAATCTATATAAGATCAAGACTGCCCAAGAGAGGAGAACGTATACAGCAGCTGACGTTTCAAGCATTGACCCTTCCATCGCCGAGAGCGGAGCCATTGCCCAAGACACCACCTAATTGATGACTCTTCCTCTTGTACGGTGGTGCAATTGAAAAAAATGTTGAGCTTTTTGCTCGTTGTGTTTGTGCGTCACTGTCAACACAGCAGCACGATGTTACGTGTAAACCTCAGCAATAGCATCTGCGAAACCAGCGGCATCTGTTCAACACGCCTGAAACTGCCAGAAGGCTACAGAACCGGTCTTTTGTTTGTTGAAACAAATGCCTGTAGTCTTCTGCAAACCCTAGCAGGCGAAAAAAAGCCCGACAAAAACTGAAATATATTTTCGTCGATAATGACATCTCGCCATTGTGAGAGGTTGCAACAGCTTGGGGGGGTGGGGGAGGCCTTCATGCAGCAGTAGATCGATCACGGCCGACGACGACGACGACCGTGGCGGAGGTACTGAACGGCGGAGGCCGCTTTATTTCACTTCGCTGCAGTGAACGGGAACGCGCCTGGGTTCGAGGGCGGGACATGCCTCGCACTACCTCCGCGCCTGCTGCCGACCCACGCAGAATGCGATACCGACTTCTATTAATAGCCCATGGGGCCATTCAGCAGTCGAATATCCGAGGGGTAGATGTAGTCCGTGGATGCACACAGGCGTGTTATTCTCAAGATGGAGCGGCCTTCCTCCTGTGTAATATATCTCGCGATCCTGTCCCGCCTGGGATAATGCATGCGCCCGCAAATAAAGCCCCACTCTACCTGCCAACCGCGTGGGAGCAGTTTTTTTTAGCTTTCCGTGTGTTGTTCCTTTTGTCGTCCTCCCATGTAGTGTTTTCGTGCCGTGCCGCGTGTTGTTCAACGAGATGCACCCTTAATTCATCGCTCCACGAGCCGGGAGTTTGTTCTGGTCCCGTAGCTCGGTTTCTCAATAAGCTGCCGGCAAGTTGGAGGGAAACGTCGGACATCGTGCCGAGCAGCACGCGGTTGCGACCCCGAAAACACATCGGAGGACCGTACAGCAACAAGGGCGACAACCACACACGCGCAGCAGCTGTACATTTTTTTCAACGTCTGGCCAACCGTGATCGGGGAAGACTAAAACACCCCTTAGACTTAGACGGTTCTCCAGGCCTCCTAGAGGGAGGCCCTTTCCGCCCGCGGTGACGTCGGCAAGAAATTGCGGGGCTGCACTGTTTAGCCTATTTTAGTGGGCGCCACGGTGGAGAGATGAAAACTACCTCGCCTGGTACACAGGAGGTCTTGGTTCGATTCAGACCCTGATGGGATGTCAACTACCTCGCCTGGTACACAGGAGGTCGTGGTTAGATTCAGACCCTGATGGGATGTCAACTACCTTGCCTGGTATGCAGGAGGTCGTGGTTAGATTCAGACCCTGACGCCTGCTGTATATTTGGAGTTTGCGTGTCTCTCTCCCCGTGGTCGCGTGGATTTTTCTCCGGGTCATCCGGTTTTTCTCTCCACGTTCAGAATGAACATCGCGCATTTAGAGCATTTGGCCGCAGGAAATTTCCACACGATTGTGAGCTATCATTTGTGATGGCCAGGTCGCTTCTGACAGTGGGCCTTACCTGTTAAAATGAAAAAAAAATGTTTTACAGTGTTTAGTTTTCTTACCCCTGAGAGAAGCCATAGGACTGCCTGAAAAACGCGGAAGGGGAGGTTTTGGCTTCGCTGGGCTCGCTTCAGAAAAAGAGGCTCTGCCATTTTCCTTGAGGATAAATGTGCGGTGATTTTTGTGTTTTTTTCTCTCTCTCTCACGTTTTTTTTGGCCACGCGTGCGGTTGCTTGTTTTGTGTGATGGCATAAATTCACCGTCTAAAAGCTTATATGTATGCACAGTCGATCCGTGCCTGGAGCTTGATGGTAATGCCTCGGTTATATTGTTAAGTCAATATCGCATTACAATTGTTCGTTATAAGAAAGTCTGGAGGGGGAGGGGGCAGAGTAGGAGGAGAAATATCATTGTCTTTTACGCTAATTGGGCTATGTACCCCTTAAAGAGACAACCGTTATGGGCCTAATTTGCTATTATCCGGCTTTTAACTACGTGAGCTGATTTTTGTGTTGTGCTCCCGTGGCAATTACGTGCACAATGGCGGCTACGGCTACATGCGTGGGGAGGGGGGGGTCTTGTTGTTTGAATCCACGGATAAAACTGCGCAATCGCCTAAAAACAAGGGGTTTTTTGGACTTTCACGAGTCGTCCAAATGAAACGCAACCGACGAGATGCGGCCGGCAAAAAGGTCACTGTGCATTTCACGACCAAAAAAAACCCCGTAGAGCCACGTTGCCATCGCACAAAAGGGGGGTGGGGTGGGGGGGGGGCAATGAATGCCTTTTAATAGCGGGCATGCTTCATGCGGCGGCGCACACTTTTGCTGAAAGAAATATTTCAGCCGTATCTCACTTTGCTGCTGCGGGGCTCGCGATAATGCATAAAACCTCTATCTTAAAAATGCTAAAATACAATTTTTATCCCTTTTTCGGGAGGCATCCTGTCAGATGTTTTAAAGAAATACAAAGGCAGCCGATGACATTTTAATTCTGTTCCGAGGCGCGTAGCTCGCGCGCAATAAATGGCAGGCGGGCGATATCGTGGGGGGGGGGGTGGTGGTGGGGGGGGGGCACTCTCGATTGCTCCTCGTCAGAACGCAGCGGACGTGCGGGTCACACCGCGTCACGCACCGCGCTACGAACCCCGGCTGCAAAACCGAGTTCCGACTCCCCGCTCGCGGCCGCCAACGCCGGCGACGATCGTCCGAACCGGTCCCGTGGGTCTCGCCTCGGTCGACTCGGCCTCAAATGAGCCCCCGATGGGCGGTGTGCGGCGAGCATCGTGCACGTCGGTGAGACGGAGGCGGCAGGAGGTGGTTGGTTGGTCACCCGCCCCCTCGTATGCCCTGCTGGCCTTCGCTGGTGCTCGCTAACAGCACTTGCCCCAATAATATGTTAAGGCTATAGGGGGGATCTTTGTCTTTATCGGGTTCCGAGAGGATGTGGGCAAAAAACGCGACTGGACATTGTTGCTCGGGGTTAGTCTTATCGTTGCGGAGCCTATTGGCGCGGTGCATCTTCATAATAACCATTTTTTGGAAATCAATCATACCTGGGCTACCAGCGGTGGATGATTTTAATCGCGAGGCCGATATGGATCTTCTTCTCTTTCTCTTCACGGCTGCCGCTGGGATTGTGTTGCAGAGGCGCGTCGCAGTGTGTACTAGCTGTCGGTGCCAGCCTCGTAAAGACTGAGTTGCTCTCTACGGCGCACACCACGCAGGCAAAATACAAATATCTGAAAGTTACGTGGTGTGCGTGCGTGTGTACCTGCGTGACATTTGCATTCGGTTAAATAACGGTGCAATTACAATTTATATCGTATTAGCCTAGAATATCAGTGGTTCTTCTTCTTAACCTGGGGGTGCACGCTGCACCCCCTGGGGTGCGAGATGCCCTTTCTGGGGGTGCGAGACATGGCCAGATATTTTTTCTAAGGTAAATCATCCGAACACAAAATTAAGCACGGGCACTTAGGTACAACTACTTTGTTTCATCAACTCAAATGCATATTTTAACACTGTAAAAAATAATAATTACGATTGAGAACCAAAGGGGGGTGCAAGGCTGCAGTTAAGGTTAAGAACCACTGACCTGGATGCGTGCAAAGACGTCTGGCCCGTGTTGAAGAGTGGGCCAAATTCCCTCGAGTGAGGCTGTCTAAAGGTCTCTCGAGTTAGAGGTCCGTCCACCAACAGTGGTATCAGCAAGTAATTGCAGGGCTACCCCTCAAACCTATCTACGTAAATAATTGCGCATACCATATTGATGACTAGGTGAGAGCTCCCTGAGATTCAGGGTCTTACTTTTCGTGGGAGACGTGGGGTGCACGTCTGCAAATGTCAAAACAACTACAAGTAATCAGCAGAAATTGCACAACACAGAAATGTCAAATTCCATTCGCGAACAGTTACAACGTGAAGATGTCTTCACGTTGTCCACGTCGACTCCTCACGGCAAGCCTTCCCCGCCCGTATCCATCTCTCGCAGTCCCACGATACAACAACCCCTCTCGCCCACCTGCACACCAAGAGACGTACCACTTGGAGTATTTGGCTTGCTGTGAATGTCCACGTGATAAGCTGGTGACCGTCTTTGCAAAGATGGCCACTGCATCGCGCGCTTTCAGATGCGCTTCTGCGGCCGTCTGGAACGTTGTTCTCCCTTTTAATATGCGGAAGTCACCGAAGCTATGCACTTTTAAATCATCTACATTGACAAACGCATGGTGTTTTACACTAAGATAGTGGTAAAGGCGTAGCCCTGGAGTATCTTGCTCACGCCACTGCTGGCGGAAGGCCCTCTGCTATCGGGAGCTCTGGAGAGCCCCTTGAGCGGGTTATTATTTTGGTCTACTCTTTCACGCTGGCCAGAATAGTCCTCGTAGGAATACCCACACTTGACCTCCACCCACGGGCGGCCAGCTTATCAACCCATTGATTTCAATTGCCGCGCCGGAAGATCGAAGCGACCAACCCTGGGTTGCAAGTCCGGTGCCCTGCTGACCGTCACACCACCGTGGCAGCGTTTGGTTTTGCTTAAACGTTGACAAATGTCAGAATCAGAATCTTGATTTAGACTGCGGCCGGAATCCGATGAGCTATGAAGCTCCTTTTTCACAGATGCCCAGTGTGGGCGGATCACCACGTGACAGCACGTTACGACAAAATTAACGCGCCGGTCTTTAGTGCGGTCGCTGAGCGCAGGCCCTCAAAAAACGTGGAGCGGCCAGCAACGAGCAGCACCGCTTGAAGTCGCGGAAGCTATCTCACGAGCACGCGAAGTTCGCGGCGGGTGTGTTTGCCACCGCCGTGCAGAGCTTTGTCATTTGCCAAACGCTGATAACGCTTGGCCACTGCCCCATCATTTTTCTTCCCTAACTTTTTTTTTGCCACCGCTGATCAATTTCTGCTCAGACTGTCCCTCCCCCCCTTCCTCTCCCTTCCCATCCTCTGCCTCCCTTCTCTGCCCCCCCACCCCCTGCCCCCCCCCCCGGGTCTCTCCACCCCCGCGTCTGGTCTGAGACGTCCTTGCTTGGCAGGTGAGTCGGGGCCTCTTGACCACCTGTTCAGGCGTCGTTATTGAGTGCGCCATTTAATTACATTCAAATTAAAATCGACATTCATTAAACTTCGCTCAGATTTACTTTTTTTAAATTACTTTATTACCGATTGTCCTATCGGAGTTGAATCACGAAGTGCAGAAAACTGCTTTTGGAATGTCTGATTTCTGACGATCCGCCATTGTCATGATGTCAGAAAAGTGCCCGGTTTAATTTGTGATGTTACAGCTCTTTGTCACTCCACCGCTGGATGATGGCTTACTCCACACCCTGAAAGCTGTGGTGGGGGGCGGGGGGGATGTTTGACCACATTTAGAAACAACATCACGCCTTTAGAGTTATTTGGTGGCTGCTAAAGATGTTCACGTGAAAATCAGCCACTTCGGTGAGCGATCGCTTGTGGCCATGCCACTTCTGGAAAAAAGAGCTGCGTCGCTCAAGTGGGCCTGACCTGGTGAAATAACACCAAAAAAACCAGTTCGTTAAGCAGTTAGTTTGGGCACGGTGGTACACGGCTTCGCATGTTTGCTCAGACTCAACCGGGGAAGCGGTCGCCCTTCGTGGAACACATCAAGGACTTCCAGCGAGGTAGAGGCTAGGGGGGTGGGGGTTGTGGGAGACACAGGACGTGATTGTAATTTTCACTTGCGCGCCGGTGAACCTGGGTGACAAATGGGCAGCTGCCTTTACCCCTCCCCCTCCACCCTCACGCCCCACGCCAATTCATAAAACTCTGCTCGCAGCCACTTAATGGAGCGGCCTGAGCGAGTGATTTACTCGGGAGATGGATATTATTCCTCCCGCTTGACTTGGAGGCTGCAGGTGTTAAAAAACGGGCGGCTGAGAAGAAGGGAAGAAATTACATCCGCCCAAGTCCTTGTAATTAAAAAGGAGAGTTGGCACGGACGCACACGAAGATAGAAAACGCACTCGATTTTTATTTAAATGAAAAAAAAGGAATGAGCATTCAAAATAGGGGGTTGGAGCGGTGGCACAGTGGTTAGCACACTGCGGATGTTAAAATATGTGTTTGTATTACCTGTGATTACATGGGGGGGGGGGGGGGGGGGTGGGGATGGTAGAAGGGGTTACTGGTTTAGAAAGACCCAGAATATATTAAAAAAAACTAAACTTTGACCTTTTTAACTGATAAATGAAGGGAGCTGCTACAGTGGCGAATTGGTTCGTGTCCTGGAATTGCAATCCAGTGGTCGGCGATGCGATTCCATGTCCTGGTTGCGGCACTTGTGAAGCTGGGGCAAGCATCTTCAATTGCCTC